CTCTCTCTCTCTCTCTCTCTCTCTCTCGTCTCTCTCTCTCTCTCTCTCTCTCTCTCCTCTCTCTCTCTCTCTTCTCTCTTCTCTCTCTCTCTCTCCTCTCTCTCTCTCTCTCTCTCTCTCTCTCTCTCTCTCTCTCTCTCTCTCTCTCTCTCTCTCTCTCTCAGTCTCTCAGTCTCTCAGTCTCTCCCTTCTCCCTCTCCTTCTCCCTTTCCTGTTCCTCTCTCCCCTCTCCCTCCTTCCCTCCTTCCCTCCCTCTCTCCCTCTAGCCCTCCATCCATCCTTCCCTCGCTTTTTTCCCTTCTCAAATAGACATATATTTTTTCTTCTGTCAAAGCCTCCTTTCTTTACCCTCCTACTTTCCCCTTTTCTCCCCCTTTCTTTCACCTTCCTCCTCTCCCCCCCCCTCTTTCACCCTCTGCTTCTTCCCCCTTTATCCGCTCTTCCTTTTTTGTCCCCTCTCTTGCTATTCAACTCCCCTTCACTACGAGATCAGTTACTCCTTCTCCTCTCCGGTCACGTAGCTAAATGTGTACATCCAAAATCTCTTTAAAAGTGTACATGTTCGTGAGTTCCTTTCGACCTGTAATGTGTACATCCAAATCCTTTTTAAAAAGTGTACATATTTGTGAGTTCCTCCAACTGTTGTAATGTGTACTTCCAAAGCTAATTGTTTACATGCCAAAATCTCTTAAAAAGTGTACATGTTTCGTGAGTTCCTTTCGACCTGTAATGTGTACATCGAAAACTAAATGTGTACATCCAAAACTACTTTAAAAGTGTACATTGTTCGTGAGTTCCTTTCGACCTGATAATTTGTACATTCCGGGAAACTAAATGTTTGTACATTCCAAATACTACTTTAAAAGTGTGACATGTTCGTGAGTTCCTTTCGACCTGTAATGTGTACATCGAAAACAAACTGTGTAATCCAGAACGTACTTGTAAAGAGTGTAGCATGTTCGTGATGTTCATTCGAGTGTGTTGTAATGTGGTACATCCAAAATCCTTTAAAAGTGTACATGTTCGTGAGTTTCCTTTCGACCTGTGTAAATGTGTACTATCCAAACTAAATGTGTTACATCCAAAAATCTCTTAAAGAGTGTACATGTCGTGAGTTCCTTTCGACCTGTTTTAATGTGTACATCCAAAATCCTTTTTAAAGTTTCATATTGTGAGTTCCTCCAACTGTGTAATGTTACTTCCAAAGCTAATTGTTTACATCAAAATCTCTTTAAAAAATGTACCATGTTCCTGAGTTCTTTCGACCTGTAATGTGTACATCGAAAACTAAATGTGTACATCCAAAACTACTTTAAAAGTGTACATGTTCGGGAGTTCCCTTCGAGTGTACATCGAAAACTAAATGTGTACACCAAAAATACCTTTAAAAGTGTACATGTTCGTGAGTTCTTTCGACCTTGTAATGTGTACATCGAAAACTAAATGGGTACATATAAGGTACTACAGATGTGAGGCATTTGTGAGTTCATTCGAACTGGTTGTAATGTGTACATCAAAATCCTTTTAAAAGTTTAACAATTGTTCGTAACTTTTGTAATGTTTACATCCAAAATCCTTTTTAAGTTTACATGTTCGTGAGTTCCTTCGACCTGTAATAAGTGTTACATCGAAAACTAAATGTGTACATCCAAAATCTCTTTAAAAGTGTACATGTTCGTGAGTTCATTCGAGTGTTGTAATGTGTCATAGAAAACTAAATGTGTACATCCAAAATCTCCTTAAAAGGTGGACATGTTCGTGAGTTCCTTTCAACTGTTGTAATATGTACATCCAAAGCTAAATGTGTAACATCCAAAAAATCTCCTTAAAAGTGTACATGTTCGTGTCTCTACATTAAAAATGTGTACATCCAAAATCCTTTTAAAAGTGTACATGTTCGTGAGTTCATTCAAGAAAATAGAGAGAGATGTAGATAGATACATTTGAAGATATAAAGATTTAAAGATATTGGACTCTAGACGTCTCCATAAATATGAATGTTTGTACTCACGTGTGTGTAAATATAGATGTTTACATAGACAAACAAGTACAGCAGAGAGATGAATATATAGACAGATACGTCTTTGTATTTATATAGGTACATGCATATCTGTCGAGACGAGAGTTTACGTTCTTTAAAAAAAAAAAAAGGATTAGAATGTTGAAGTTTCCCCTTAAAACACGATAGAAAGTTGAATATGGATGTGAGTCATTTGCCAAAAGGGTTTCTCTTATGGTCGCCAGCGCTTTCCAGGACTTGCAGGTTATTAAAGAAAACTATTTTCCTCTGGTTGTTCGCTTGTGCGTTTGTTTGTTTGTTTGGAAGTGTGATCTTGTTCGTATATATATGTGCGTGTTTGCTGTGTGATTTTATGAGTTTTGTATATTTGCGAACGTCATTTTGGCGTGTGTATTTGCACATATTTGATGTTGTTTGTGTGTGAATTGATTTTGTGTTTGTCCATATATTTGCAAATATGATTTTATCTATGTCCGCTTATTTGAAAATATAAGCTAATATTTGCAACTATAATTTCTTGCGATTCTTATATTTGCAACTATGATTCATTGGAATTGTATATTTGCAACTATCATGTTGTGCCTGTGTTCGTTTATTCGATTTTTTATCGTATATTTCGTAATATATATATAATTATATGTATATATACTATATATAATATGTCGATTATTAATATATATATATATATTGTTTATGTTCGAGTATTTGCTACAGTGATTTTAGGCGAGTTCGCATTTCTGCAAATGTGATATCTTTCATGTATTCGCATGTTACAATATGATCTTGTGCCTGTGTTCGTATACTTGCAAATATGATTTCGTGCTTGTCCATATATTTGCAAATAGGATTCCACGTATCTTTGTCTATCTGCAACGAGAATTTTAACCGATGTTCGTATACTTGCAAAAATGGACGTTATTAACTTCACCTTCTCGAGGGGGGACTGAGACAGACAAGATATTATCACCTCGACTTGATTGATAGATCTTCTCTTCCTTTCCCTGCTGTTGCCTTTGTTATGCTTGCAGGGTCGAAGTTGCAAGGAGACTGCAGAATGGAACTCGGGGGAAAAGGATGATTTTTTTTTTTTTTTTTTGATGTTTTGTTTTGTTTTTGTTTGGTTTGGTTTATGTATTTCGTTTATCTTTTGTCTGTTTTTCTATTCGCTTATCTATCTTTTAGGTGTTTTATATTTCTATTCTGTTTGCTTGTTTATATATTTTATTTCTTGTTCTTTATTTATTTATTTCTTCATTTATCTGTTTGTTTATTTTTTTATTTATCTGTTTGTTTATTTCTTGATTTATCTGTTTGTTTATTTCTTCATTTATCTATGTGTTTATTCACTGACTTGATGTATTTCACTTATTTATTTATTTATTTGTCTATCTATATGTTCGATAAAGTTTACTGTGTCTCTTTAAAGATTTTGATCACGTGTTGTATCAGGAAAAATATAGACTACATGGTTATAAGGTTAAGGGTGCAGACGAGTGCTGTACTGTTGAGTGTGTATTGGTGTGCGTATTGTGTGTGGTAAGTGTGTAAGTGAGTGTGTAATTGTGGTGGGTGTAATGTGTGTGTGTGTGAGGTGTAGATGTGAGTGAGTGTGTAATGTGTGTTTAATGTGAGTGTGTAATGTGTGTAATGTGAGTGTGTACTGTGTGTTTAATGTGAGTGTGTATTGTGAGGTGTAATGTGAGTATGCAATGTGAGTGTGTATTGTGAGTGTGTACTGTGAGTGTGTAATGTGAGTGTGTACTGTGTGTTTAATGTGAGTGTTTAATGTGAGTGTGTATTGTGAGGTGTAATGTGAGTGTGTATTGTGAGCGTGTACTGTGAGTGTGTAATGTGAGTGTAGTGATTGTGATACAGCGACGAGTATTAATGCGAGTGTGTAATATGAGTGTTTAGTGTGAGTGTGAATAGTGAGTGTAAGTGTGCGACTCTTGCCTTGGCAGAATAATTGTCGGTCAGCTGTTTGGAGGTTTCATGGCCCACTCTGTCACCGCCATAACACGTTCATGTGAATTGCTTTCGTTTCTTGTTTCCTCTCTCCTCTGCTCTGTATGTCTGTCTTTCGCTGTGACTCTCCTCTCCTCCCTCCCTCTTGCCCTTTTCCCTCCTTCCCTCCCCTTCTCCCTTCTCCCCCCTCTCTCCCCCCTCCCTCTTTCTCTTTTCCCTCTTCCCTCTTCCCTCTGCCTTTCTCCCCCTCCTCCACCCCTCCCTCTCCCTCTCCCTTTTTCCCTCCTTCCTCTCCTTCTCCCTCCCTTTTCCCTCTTCCCTCTTTCCCTCCTTCCCTCTCTCTCTCTCTCTCTCCCTTTCTCCCACCTCCCACCCCTCTCCCTCCCTCCCTCCCTCTCACACACAAATACATAAAAAAAGGGGAAAAAATGACTACAGCCCGAATCACCATAGGTCACTTCACCATCGCACCATGAATAAGCACGTCTCGACGGTGTCACAATACACGTCATTAGTGCCGTATGACACAATAATCGTGTCACTTCGCCACCTCCTCTCACGCTTGCTCACCCACTCCCTCGTATGCATATTTTCCGTGGCGGTTAATGTATGTATATGAGAGAGAAAGGGGGAGAAAGAGAGGGAGGGAAGAGAGAGAGAGACGGACGGCGACGGTCAGAGAGAGGGAGGAGAGGGAGAGAGAGAAGGGAGATGAGAGAGGGGAGGAGAAGAGAGAGAAGAGAGGGAGTGGCAGAGAGAGAGAGAGAGAGAGAGAGAGAGAGAGGCAGAGAGAGAGAGGAGAGAAAGAGAGAATAGAAAATAGAAAAGAAGGAGACAAAAAGACAGCCAGCCAGGCCGAAAGACAGAGAACAAAAAAAAAAAAAAAAAAGAAAGAAAGAGAATAGAAAGAGGAGGAAAGAGAACGAAATGATTCATCCGACGAAAGGTCAATCGACCACTCACTCGACCAGAACACGGGTGGAAAGTTTTCATGATTCATGGCGCGAGATCCGACATGCGCGAACTCTGCGGGACTCTGCCTGTGCACTCTGAGGGATCTTTGACTCGCATGGCAGGACGAGAGGGCATGGTACTGAGCGTCTCCTAACGTGTCATGTCTTTGGGGAATGATGTGTACTTGTCGATCATGTCTGTTGTTCATGACACATATGTGCATATATATATATATATATATATATATATATATATATATAATATATATATATATATATATATATATATATATATATACATATATAATAATATACATACATACAGTACATGCTTACATACGTCTGTACTGTACATATATACATACTGTACATGCATGCATACGTACGTATTGTACATACATACATAGTACGTACTATACATGCATACATACATACATACATACGTATTGTACATACATACATACTTTTCATGCATACTATACTTAAACAAACACACAAACATACACGCGCGCACACACACACACACACACACACTCACATACACACACACACACACACACACCACACACACACACACACACACACACACACACACACACACACACCACACACACACACACACACACACACACACAAGAACACCGATGAACACCAATAACAGAGCCTCTTTCTCATGTCAGTTCTCTCCCCCCCCCCACAGATCAAGTTGAGCGGTTGTCTGTGCTTAGTCTGCGCCGTTCTGTGTGTCGTGGTGACCGTGACGACCACCGTGTTGCACATGAACAGATTGCAGACGTTGCAGGAGTGTGAGTTCTTCCCACACTCTCAGTCTTGCACCTGTACTCCTTACACAGGTGTTCTGGATCCGACGCAAGATGGTAGGTATACGTTTATAAGTTTAAGGATAAGTATAAGTAAGTATTAGTATATAATCTATTAGTATGAATATATAAGTATAAGTAAGCATAAGTTTATAAGTATAAGTATGTATAAGTATATAAGTATAAGTATGTATAAATCTATAAGTATAAGTAAGTATAAGTCTATAAGTATAAGTATCAGAGGTAAGCCTATGATGCCAGTATAAAAGATGTGTTTAAATCCGAGTTACTAATACGTTGTATTATGAATGGAATAAGTTTAATTCTGAGGTAATAATTGTGATTAGGAATGTATAGGGGTTAGGGTACTAAGGCCCGTACTTTAAAAACCTTTCGCCAGGGCTGGCGAAAGGTTTCGCCGGGCGATCCGGAATTTCGTACTTTTAAAATCATGCCTGGCGAACGTTCGCCAGGGCTGGCGAAAGATCATATTGGAACAGCCTGGCGAAGAGAGCTGTTTGAATACCATTTTCTTGCTTTCAAATTATAAATTAGTAACATATTTGTGTATGATAGGATGTAGGAATCACATTGAAATTATAAAATATCTTAAAATCATAATTTGTTATGAAATAACGTATATACGTATTTTTTTTTCAAGACCTTCGATGTTCCAGTCGAGAGCTCAAGACATCAGCTGTATTCCTACCCCCCTACCCCTACCCCCCACCCCCGAGATGATTATTTAGATTTAGGTTGTTGTTATTTTGGTTGTAAGGATAATGTTCTTTTCACAAATATTACCAGAAGTGTTTTTTATGGCGGCATGTTTACTTTTGGCTGTAGAAACATAGCTGTAGTGCTCCATCGCCCTATAATGAGGCGTCTTTAATGATACCCTTGTAGGCCTACAGTTCAATATCTTACTTCAGTTAGGAATAGTAAAATAGTAATTTTTAAACTCTTGTTAAAGTATAAAGTTATTTTTTGTATAAAAGTATAAGGTTGATACAGATATAGTATAAAGTACTTTTAAAACCTTTGGCCAATGTTGGCGTTCGCCTGGCGAAGCTTCGCCAGGCGAACCTCTGAGTGAGGGAGGCCTTACTTTTAAACCAAGGCAGGTGTTCGCCAGGCCTGGCGAACGAAAGGGATCGCCAGGCGCTAACATCTTGGATTCCTGATAAATCTAGCGCTTCGGCGAATGAAACAAAACGCGAGAAAAAGCAAAAGGTTTTAAAAGTACGGGCCATAAAGTTAACCTTGTTATAGTATAAAGTGTAATATAGCATAAAGTATAAAGCTAATTTTGTTATAGTATAAAGATATTTTCAACTTCTTTGTTATAGCATAAAGTTAAATTTTAACTCCTTTGTTATAGTATAAAGTGAGACTATTGCAGAAACAACATTTTCGTCATCTCTCGAGGTTAATGATTAAGTTTAGGTTATGTAATGTGCACTGCAGATGTAAACAAATTTGCGCTAGATTTAGCGGGAATGCAAGATGTTAGCGCCTGGCGAACGTTGGGTTTAAAAGTAAGGCCTCCCTCACTCAGTGGTTCGCCTGGCGAAGCTTCGCCAGGTGAACGCCAGCACTGGCGAAGGTTTTTAAAGTACGGGCCTAAGTGTGATTATGTGATTAGGAATATATAGTACAGGGTTAGGGTACTAAGTGTCCAGTGAGCTTATGTAGTGACCTCTTTAAGAAAATAAAAACACTTTATACACTTATTTTTATT